ATATATAACTACCTATGTGACTGCAGCAACTAATAAAATTTTATGTATTACCAGCTAATAAAGTCAGCATGTTGTTATGAAGAACACATGGGGCACTACTCAGTCCTTTTATTAGTGTTTCAGTCTAAAGGAAAAGAAGCTGAATTTTGKTGCCCGAAGCATGTATTTCAATAATTGTGACAAATTGTGTTGCATCAGTCATCTTTTTTTTAAGTGTCTGTTGTCCTCTGCAGTGTTATTTTTTATTTCTGCAGAGCCTTCAGCTCTCTGCATGCCTCCGTTTGGAATGTGTAGGCCGACATGGGCCTGTGGCCCACACCCCATCTCAGCGGTGAGGGTGGGAGCGGGGGGAGAAAACGCCACCCCTGCAGAGACCATTTTGAAATCTGTGAGGATTTCCGTGCCATCTGGACCCGCTGCCAGTCTGCCCCAGATAGTAAGGGTTGGCAACGGTACCCGACGGTGCAATATGGCTCTCTCTTTAATGAACTACTAACTGTCCCCCGTTTTAATTGATGTGACATTTGAGCCATTTATCTCTGACATTTCAATGAAGGATGATTCTCAGCCTTGCCATTTACTTTTTTGTGCTATTTTCTAAGAGTCATTTGCATTTTTCTTCTCTAAACCTGCTTTTTGTCTCTCATTAGCTAATTAGAGGAACATGCACAATTAATAAAAATGAACATAACCTAGTTTGATACATGCTTGATGAGGGATAATCAGAAAATCAATGTTTCCTTAACATTTATCAGAAATATTATGAAGGGCTATCTGTGGTAAAAGGTGACTTCGATGAAGCCTTGTAACCTTTACCCACATACCAACATGTAGCCTACAGTGTGGGACAACTTATGTTCTCAGCATGGGGAGAATCAAGCTCAATTAATCAGCATATGATTGCAGTAAGCAGCCCCCTCTGCTGGATCTTTGGAGCCATACTGTTTGAAATCATGTAAACGCTCCAGACTTTTATCATATGTGAATGGTACTCCCATGTTGTTCAAACATTGTTTGTTTTATTGGATTTAATTAAAAAAAATCACAAGTTTCTATTTTTAATTAAATTGATGGCTATTTGTAGGTATTTTTATTGCATGTAAAATGAAATTACCATGGGCACATTAAGCTTGTTTTGTACTTTTTAATAATTTTTGGTCATATTTTATTTATTTGCTTTAATTAGCGCAAAGAATATATTTCAAAACAGGAAATATTTTAGCCATTATGTTCTGAAGCAAGTCACCCGAGGTGCGTGTGAGTGACATAAAAACGTGGCATTCTAAATTCAAACTCAATTGTTTTCCATAATGACACATATTTTTAATCTTTTTTACATATCCTTTAAAAACACGGCTCTATTGATGACGGCTGTTCCTTTGATTGTGAGTGGCATCATTGCCAAGGTGTGGTGCCCTGTCTGTGCTGTCAGCTGGGCTGATATCTTTTGTTTGAGACTCAAAGAGCTCCTTTTCCTGTTCGGTTTCCCCCCACTATTTTTGTTTGGGCGAAGTGTTGATAGACTTATATGTTGCACAGCTTCCTTTAAGTGTAAAGCGCCAGATGTTTGTGAGAATAACAACCCCATTTCCCCCCCATAATGAGAGAGTTTGTTTGCAGTTTTGTCCATCCGGTTATGTATGATTGTCACTCCTCAGTCATACACCGCCTGCCTCTATCTTGCCCTCTTTTCCTGTGTTCGCGCTGCCTCCCTCTCATGTTGGCGTGGGAGGAGTTGAAGTCATTTATGATATCAGATATTCTCTTGGAGAGCATGAACGTCCTGACAGACAGAACAACCGCTATCCTCTCACACGGTGGTGTGTGTGAGCGTGCATTTTAATCAGGAAAAAGAAAAAAAAATGGCTCTCTGGGCCTCAAACTGCACATCAAGAAGGTTTGGGGTTTTTTCACTGTGTATAACCAGAATAGAGATATGTTGTATTTGTTTCTTTAAATCAAAATGTAAAGCAGTAATAACAAAAAAGAAGAAAACTCTTATTTAGTTCTTTTTATTCTTTAATTACACTCCTCTCCAAAGAATTAGCCCGATCGTCCATATAAGCTACCCCACGACCACAAAGATGTGACAAAATGTCTCGGCACCCTCAAGTGTCCACTTGTTTAGTGTGCCCGTGTGCCTCCGTCCCTCCATTTCTGATATGATGTGGCTTCTCTATTTTACTGTTGACACAGTGCTATGAATGTCTGAGCATTTTGCAAATGAAGAGGCTTGAACTCCTGACAGGCAGTGTCGCCGGCACCATGACACACTGGCCCGCACATGCTGTGTGGCATAATGATGACATTAGGATCCAGTGATAATATCAGGACGCACTTCAGATAAATGACTGATAAACCAGGGGTTGTGCCTCTCGTATTACACGCTTGACAGAGCAGCTAATCAGTGTCCAAGTGACTGCTATTACATAAATCATGAGCTCGACTTTGATGCATATTCCAACGGTGTTCCCTATTCATCACGTCATCTGGGGAAGATTCTCTGGATGACTGGCTCCCGAGCCAACACACATTTTAAGAGCACATTATGTTTTCATTAGAATTTGATATGATCCATTCCAGTGTTGATTTGATTTTACGTGCTTGGGTCATTTGATAGTAGGGCTACTCAGGAGAGGGGGTGTATTGTTACGCTGCGTGAACCGTTTCCTCTCACTGACTGCTTTTATTGGCGAGGCAGTTTTTTTTTGATAAACAACCATGTTTTTTCGTACAAAAATGGGATTTTTATTCGCAAACATTTTTTTTGTATATTTAAGAACTCACTTAACCCATGCTCTTGCTCAATTTTCCAAGCTGAGATGAGTAATACTGTTTCACTCGGTAATAAAATCACACCGCGCTTGTAGATGAAGTTGGAAGGCAAATATTGGGTGTTGAAGTGAGTCACCATGTATGTTTTATTCTCCGGTATTGGGGTCAGAGGATGTGAGGGTGGGGGTGTTAATTTAATCCCCATTCTTACCCTGAGCATGGCCACACTCTCTAAGGAGCTTTATCTCTGACAACTGTGTCAAATTAGAGGGACCACGAGCCCCTCATAAAGAATATGTCTGTCAGACTACATTGTTCTTGGCTTCTGAAATATACGGCTGAGAGGGACAAAAATAGAAGATAACACCTTGGTCCCAATGTTGGACTCAAACATGATGAAATAATTTTCCCAACTATGGGATCCTGACATTGACACAAACCAGCAACAAAACTGATGTGCAYGTCATACTTTCTCTTTGTTTCTGTTATTGATTTCAAAGAGTAATATTTTGTTCAATAAGCTTACAGTATGTATTCCAGCACTGTCAGTAATTTTTATGAAGTCTTCCACTTCTTTTTATGCTTTCTTATTATGCTAATATAATGTTGAACAGACCTTTTTTTTTTTCAAGAAAACTTTAACGTCAATAATTTATCATAATTCCACTTGCTTGTATAATTGATGGCGGTGTTACGTTCCATTAAACATGGCACATAACTCCAGGTCAGTCCAGTCTAATAAGTGCCCATCATTTATCTCCCTGGTATCATCGCTTTACTACAGTCAAACATGTAAAACAACTCTTAATGTTCTCCCTGGTCCCCTATGGGTGTTTCTCCCTGTTATCATCATTGCCTCTAYTCTGCGGGGACTTCCTCTGGAGACAACGTTTTCATAGACCTTTGACCTAAACCATATTTTCCATTTGAATGGTCTGACTAGTGAATATTTACAAGCATGTTTAATATATAATAGATCTCATCTGTGAGTATTAGGAGCCATTTTCTGCTCAGTCAGGTTCTGGCGCTGGCCTCGCCCCCCTTGCTTGTGGTAATTTTGACCCCTCTTAAAAACAAAATGACCTGTGCCTCATTTAGGCCAAGTAGTATGCATACGTACTGCACAAGTCCTAAGGGCATACATGTTTATAACAAGAAAAGCTGGCAGTCTCGAATGTAAACATCTTAGCACTGTAATATTATTGTATCAGTAAAGTCCCAGAAGGTGGAAGATTTAATAATGTGGGTGGATTATATAAGAGAGAGAAATAAAGCAGTAATTTGAAATTGTTTGGGGACCTTTTGTGTCAATGGTTATAGAGGCTAAGGGACAACTCCTTTCCCTCAGGCCAATGTTAAAAAGGCAATGACTTTTCTTGTACATGCACAGCATTTTGGAATCTACATGAATTACTACCAGAGGCTTTTATTGTGTGATTAGTAATACATAATATATTTGATTCTATTATCATGCATGGGGAAAAAAAATGAAAGAAGATGGTGAAACAGGAAGARTGTGTTGATGAGTAACGTCTGTGCTGAAGTGAATTAATATACATTTGCCAGAGAAACAGATCTCGGTTTGCTTCTCGGGTGCTTATACAACCACAGGGTTTTTAATCTCTTTCTTGCCGATGAAAGTCCCAGTAATTGCTATATTTCCCTTTTTGTTTCAAGGACCTTTGATGATCCCTT